TGGTCACCCCACGCATCCTGCTGTTCAGTTGTTCCTCCGTTTGTTTTGGTCGTGATGGCCCCTGGCTTTTTATATATTAGGGTACTCGGGGGCAGGGGGCCTGCTGAAAAGTAAAAGACCAATGAGTCAAAATCCCATCACTTAAAAATTATAAAATATGAAGTGGCATTCCCCTCAACTGGCCGGACCCTTCAGCCCTGCACTGCAGAGCCCCCAGAGGCACAGTGGGAGCTGCTCACTGGAGGGGCCACAGAGCACCATGCAGGCCGAAGGTGAAAGGAGTTTTTAGGGGTGAAATCAGCAGGTTTAGGAAATTCTGGGAATTAGGGGTTCCATGGGGAGAACCACAAGGCTGTGAAGCTGGGAGCTGCCCAAAGATATACATTCACAGAATAAGGGAGCTGCCAGGAGGTGTGCATTTACAGAGTACAGGGAAGGAAGCCACTCACTCAGAGAAGGAAGAGGAGGCCAAGGGAATAGTCAGGATCTCCAGCCAAGTTCTGTAGCCAGGTTCTCCAGCCAGGTTCTGTCTCAAGTTTTGAAATATACAGTCTTTTCCTTTTTTTAGGCATAGAGTAAAGCTGATCAATAAATTTATACATAAGACAGGAATATTAAAATGAACATAAAATAAGCTATTTGATTTTTCTCACCCAGAAGAGGTTTTAAAATTTCAGAAAAGTCAAATCTCAGTAATTCTAAACTCTTTTTTTTCTTTGTAGGAAGTCATTAATCGCTACTGTAGAAAAACAACTTCTAGGTGAACACTTGACAGCAATTCTTCAAAAAGGTAATTGGCAATTTATAAATCAGATTACAATTTATAAATCAGATAGCAGCAAACAATTGAAAGAAATTTAAAGATTCCACTTTTAAAAGCTTGATAGCTGTGGTGGCTGCACTTCTAAGGATGGATACAACCCTTTTTTCCTATTCACAGTGAAGTTTCAAGAGGTGCTCCTTTCCTTAACTTAAGATACAGGAGCTAAGATGAGAGAGGTCCACCAACACTGGTGAAGAAACAGTGGGAATTTGGGAATTCTTGATTGAATTTGTAACACTACAGTAAGGAAAAGCATTCCGTTTTGCATTAAAGTGTTTTTGTTCGTAGCATATAAAACTAAGCACTTCTACCAAGCATTCCTAAGTGATCTTAGAGTATACCCTGCATTTACTTTGATAATTCCAGTGATAGGTAAAAAGTCTGACTTTTTTTTTTCACTTTTAATATATTTTTTATTGATTAAGATATTACATATGTGTCCTTGTCCCCACGATACCCTCAAACCCCCCCCACTCTTGCCCTCCCCCCCCCCTTGTCCGTGT